CCTCCTTCTCCTCCTCCTCCTCCTCCTTCTCTTTTTCTTCTCCCCCCAGGTTTGGAATCTGGCCAACTGCAAGCTGAAGACCAACCACATCGGGCACACGGGCTACCTGAACACGGTGACCGTCTCCCCAGACGGCTCCCTCTGTGCCTCTGGGGGCAAGGTACGTGTCGAGACGAGACCTGGGTGTCCCACCCCCTGGAGATGAGGGAGGTCCTGGGTGTCCCACCAGCTGGAGATGAGATCTGGGTGTCCCACCAGCTGGAGATGAGACCTGGGTGTCCCACCAGGTGAAGATGAGGTCCTGGGTGTCCCACCAGCTGGAGATGAGATCTGGGTGTCCCACCAGCTGGAGATGAGACCTGGGTGTCCCACCAGGTGAAGATGAGGTCCTGGGTGTCCCACCAGCTGGAGATGAGATCTGGGTGTCCCACCAGCTGGAGATGAGACCTGGGTGTCCCACCAGGTGAAGATGAGGTCCTGGGTGTCCCACCAGCTGGAGATGAGATCTGGGTGTCCCACCAGGTGGAGATGAGATCTGGGTGTCCCACCAGCTGGAGATGAGATCTGGGTGTCCCACCAGGTGGAGATGAGGTCCTGGGTGTCCCACCAGCTGGAGATGAGATCTGGGTGTCCCACCAGGTGTAGATGAGACCTGGGTGTCCCACCAGCTGGAGATGATGAGGTCCTGGTGTCCCACCAACAGCTGGAGATGAGGTTCTGGGTGTCCCACCAGCTGGAGGTGTCCCACCAACAGCTCCATCTCATTCCTGTGGGCTCCATATCTTGGTCATCACTTGAGTTGGGTGGTAACAACCCAAAGATCTGACTTGATTTGATGGTCCTGGGAGTGAAGACGTTGGCCAAGATGTTCACTCAGTTCCAGGAACCTTCTTTAGATCTTCAATTTCAACCCTTGATGGAAAAAAAGCCCCTTTTGGGGTGGAAAAAAAGGTCCTTTTGGGGTGGAAAAAGGTTCTTTTGGGTGGAAAAAGGTTCTTCTTCTGCCCCCCAGGATGGCCAGGCCATGCTCTGGGACCTGAACGAAGGCAAACACCTCTACACCTTGGATGGAGGAGACATCATCAACGCTTTGTGCTTCAGCCCCAACCGCTACTGGCTCTGTGCTGCCACCGGACCCAGCATCAAGATCTGGGTAGGTCACCTCTTGGTCCTCACCTCCATCTGGGCAGGGTTCCTCCAGAACTCAACTTCTCCTCCAGCTTTTGGGTTGAGTTTGAGTTTGGAATCATCTTCATGGTGGATGAAGGTCCTGGCTTTGGTTTTTTTCTCTCTCCATTGGGATTTGTCCTCTTGAAGAACCAGGAGGAGGATTGTCCTTCACCAGGGTGCCCCTTGGTATGGTCTCTTGGCCAAGGGGGGAGGGTTGGTGGTGGCCACCAGGCTGTGATGAAACACTTCAGTGCCATCTGACTTGTGTCTCCATGTGGAAATCCAGAGGCTGTTTCTGAGCAGTGGATCCCTCAAGACCTTCCAACCTTGGGTTGGGTTCAAGTGAGGACATTTTCTCTCTGTAGAACTTCTTCCTTCCTTCATCTTCATCATCTTCTTCTTCTCCTGTAGGACCTGGAAGGTAAAATCATCGTGGATGAGCTGAAGCAGGAGGTGATCAGCACCAGCAGCAAAGCTGAACCACCCCAGTGCACGTCCTTGGCCTGGTCTGCAGATGGACAGGTAAAAACCATCTTCTTCTCCATGTTCCCACCATCCCCAACCTTGGGGGACCATCAGGACACACTTGGTGTCACCTCCACCATCAAGAGCAAGAACTTCCTTGGGGTCCCTTCTCAATCTTTGATCTCCCCAACATCTGAAAGGGGTTGTGGTGTCTCCATTGGGATCTGTCCTCTTGAAGACCAGAGACCCTTGTCCT